GCATTTGTTACTATTTGGTCTCTTGGTGATGACCATTCTTTTTAGAGTAAGAAGGAATCTTACTATTACCTAAACTTGGTTTCTCTACTCACCAGCGATTGTGAGTATATATATATATATATAATTTGATGGCCATTTTGTTTCTTCTTCTGAGATACTATCCATTTTTTGATTATGTCTTTTATTTGGGGATCTATTTTTTAACTCTTTATATACTCTGGATATTAGTCTCCTGTCCAGGAATAGCTGTAGTTTCCCCTTCTGCAGATCTTGTCCTCACTGTACTTTTTGCAATGGGAAGCCGTCTAATCTGAGGTTCTCCTGTGGCTCTGCTCAGAGGCCCTTTTCAGGGTCCTCCCTCACTGGGCATGATCAGCACTAGCCTGTCCTCCCTCCAGATCCTATTGGGCTCCTGGCTGCAATTCTTTGACTGCAGACAATGTCATCTTCGTAATACCAAGCCCATCAATGTCCCGGGCAAACACACACATCTTTTTGTCCAACCTAGAGCGCTCAGAGTTGTGGCACCCTATTTCACATCTTGCTGCACTGTGAAGACACAAGGCACAGAGAAAGCCCACTTAGCAGCCTTAGGGCTCCCAGGGAGTGGGAGTGGCTCTGGGCAGGGCCCTTGCCTGGCAGTCTCCTCACACCTGAAGCAGAATGAGTGTTGTGGGCGTTATCATCTTCCATTAACGTGACTGTGTCTACTTCCATATCAAGACGTTTGAAACACAAGCTCATGGGCAACTGCCTTAATGTTAGAGCTTCCAGAGTTGAATAATGGTCTCAAGGTCACAACTAACAAGCATCCTCCAAACATTTACCCTTCCCACTGAAAGCAGAGCTTGGGAACCTCAGGTGAAAGGGATTTCCCAGTGGAAGACAGTGTCTCTACCAAACAAAACAGCCATGCCAAGGAAACGCTCAGGAAAACACTGGATTTCCAGGGAAAATGTGGTGCCCTGGATTTAAAAGTTATCAGGAAGAAGCCAGGTGTGAGTGGAAAACCTATAATCCCAGCATCTGGGAGGCTGAGGCAGGAGGACCACAGGAGTGAGCCCAGCCCTTCACAATGTAATGAGTCTCTCAAAAGAAACAGAAGAAAGGGCTAGGGTGTGGCTCAGTGGGAAGGCCCTGTGTTCAGTCCCAGCACAGAAAAATAAAAAGAAGAATCACAAGAAAATGAATTCAAGTGAGCAAGGAAAATAACTCTAACCTGTTCTTGCAAAGAAAAGAGGAGAAATGAGGAAAGATCTCACAGATAAGGAGGTTTTTGTCTGGTGTACCCACACACTCACGCACACACACACACACACACACACACACACATGCAGACATGTGAACACATCCGGAGGTTCTGAGACTAAACCCAGCCTCTTGAGCTAGGCCAGGGCTTGGCCCTGGGCTTCACCCCAGCCCCAAGGACACTGCTACCTTAGAATGAAAGAGAACTTCTTGGAGTCCATGGAGAGGGCACAGGCAGGACATGAAACCCAGAGCCACCTTCTGGAGGCTGCAGTGAAAGTGGGGTCAACTCGGAGCAGTGGCACAGCCCAAGTGCAGAGGCCAGGGCAGCAGGCAGCTCATGGGTGAGGCTCTCACTCGCACCTGTGCACCAGGCTTCCTAGAGATCTGGGCAGAGCGTGCCTGCCAGCCTGACAACGCCCTGGGGTCCACCCCAGCACCACAGGAGCAAACCCAGCATCAGAGGGCACAGACCCAGACGGGTGGACAAGGACACCAAGAAGCCATGTCAGAAAGGCAGGAACCCCGGTCCTGGTGCACCTGAAGTACACATTACTCTTCCCACAACATGTTAGCGGGCCCAGTGGTGCCTTCCAGAGTCGCCGTACTCAGGAGGCTGAGGCAGAAGGACCACCACAAGACCAGTCTGGGTCACATAACAAGGCCTTGTCTCAAATAAATACATAAGCAAAAATGAAGAATGTGAGGACCTAAAATACCAGAAATATTTACCACAAAGCTGCTCTACACCAGAGAGAGGTGATGATATTACCATGAATATTATGCCGTCATCAGTTGTCAGGAGTCATAAAAGCAATCTGCTATAGAGAGGAAAGTCTTCTTGACAAAGGGGCAGATTTCAATGTGATAGAACATAACATAATTTAATTCCATTACACATTATGAAGTAATGTGAGATCCATCATAATTCTAAATAAAAAGCTAAAACCACATGGTTTAAGAGAAAATTGTAAGACAGCATGCTCATAACTTAAGGTAGATAAGACACAAAAAGCAAAACATCATAGTTAGCTTGTGATTTTTAACTCCATCAGAAAAAATTTTTTTTTCAGTATTAGTAACTCAGCACCTTGTACTTGCAAGGCAGGTGTGGCATCCCTGAGCTAAACTACTAGCCCAACTCCATCAAAATTATACATATCTACTCAACAAATGACCCATTAACAAATACATAGCTAACTCACAGGCTGAGAGAAAGTATTGGCAAAACCTACATCTCACAGAGGTCTTGCACCAGAAAAACTCAAAGAAACCCTGTAACACTGTAGCACAAAGAAGAAAAATGCAGTAAGCAACAGGCAGGAGAGCACAGATGTGAATGAAATGTGCTGTGTTAGACTGGTAATCAGGAAACTAAAGGTTAGAGATGCAAAGTGATGTCCACCTGCTCTCCATAGTGCCTCTGTCTAAGGAGAAAGACCGCAGCGGATGCTGGGAAGAGTGTGCAGCAACTCACACACTGTGTTTGGGGAAAGACATGCAATAGCCTTTGTCAAGTTCTGCCAGTTTCCTGTGAAGCTAAAACCACGCTGCTGTGTTGGACCTGCGATGCCCCCAGGCGCTCAGTCCAGGGCTTGGTCCTGGGCTCAGGCTGTGGGAAGATGGTGGAGTCCATCAGAGGCAGGGACTGGCAGAGGTTATAGGTTATTGGGGCGAGCCTTGACAGCAGACTGCTGGTGCTGGATTCTCCATGTGTCCCTTCCATTCCCAGCCATGAGGTGAACCTGCTTCCTCCAGCAGGATCTCCCACCATAAGTAATGCATTGCCACAGGCCCAGGACAGCAGGGACAGCAGCTGTCCTCTGAAAACTCGAATGCTCTGAGCCAAAATAGGCCTCTTCTCTTCTCTTGTAAGGTGATCATCCCGGGTGTTCTGCTTGTCACGGAGAGCTGACCGATGCATATGCCTGCCCTCAATCAGCTCATCTATTTCTAGGAATTAACTGAAAGGGAATGAAAACTACATCCACGGCAATGCAGGCAAATATGTTTACATGTAAGGTAGCTAAGTGGGTGCTGATCAGACCCCAACCACCTGACCAAGGGTCTGGCGGTACGATAACACAGACAGACAAGATCTTTACTGTATGAGGGGCCCAGGATGGTCAGAGCTTTGACCAGGTTGAGATGCCATCTCCTGGAGCTGGCCACTGTTTATTAAACATGAAATTCCTGGAAGGGGTGAGGGGCGGTGCAGGGAGCAGTGGAGTGGAGAGCGTTGACAAGAGCAGGGTCCTAGCAACAAGGGCACAAGACATTCTAGCAGGAACAGATCATCCACTGATGGGAAAATTTTCCCTTAGCTTAATTTTCACCTCCACCACTTTTCTTCCTGAGTTGAGCTACCCTTAGCTGCACCATTGTCTTGCCGTGCAAGACGCCATAGCGTCACAGATCACAGACCTCTGCTGTGACCAGCAGTGTGGGGAGCTGTTCCTTCCCCACACACCAACTGCTGGCTCTTCAGACAAGGCACTGTGCCCCAGCAGGCAGACTCAGACTTTTAATATGAGAAGCCAGTTTATTTTTCGCAGCTCGCTTAGGGTGGCCTCCATCAGTAGCTCACAAGTCTGTCAATAAAGGATGGATTCACAAATTTATATCCATGCAATAGTTTTGGTAAGAAAAGAAAGTGGTCACAAAATAGAGGTACGTCCTAAAAACTTCACTGTGAGTAAAGAAAGGCCACTCACTGCACTCAGTCTGCATCCCTGGTCCTAAAAGCCCGCAAAGGTCAAGGACTGGAACAGGACATAGAAACTCTTCCAGTGTATGTGAGTCCTAGCAGCAACCATGAGGGGCTGCTCCCATGACAGCCTTCGCCCCCGCCTGGGCTGGTGCACCTTTTCTCCCTGAGAATCCCATGCACTGGACCAAACTGCAGAGCTCCTGAAGATTTCCTTCCTCCCGTGCGGAGGCTGAGCCCACTGCCCAGGACCCTGGGCCAGCAGGGCACTCCCAGGGCACAGCCCTCAGCTCCCTCACTGGCTGTGTGGGAAGCTGTGCAGACCACAGCATGTGAGGCCACTTGAGTTCCCGGGACATCTGTGGAGGCGCAGTATGCAGGGCAGGTGTCGCTCATGGGCAGCAGACCCCTCAGGAGGTGGCTGCAGTTCCTGCCTGGCGGCTCGCTCCTCATGGCGAGGTGCCATCCTGGGGCTCAGTGTCCTCCACATCAGGACAGGGCTGGGCAGTAGCCTCAGCCAGGTGCACCTCAGAGCCCAGCAGCCCTGGGCCACCCTACCCACCCCATCAGGCTGCACTGCTCAGAGCCACCCTGTGAGGACACAGCGGAAAGGAGGGAGGCAGCTGCGTCACCCTCTGGGCTCGGCCTCCAAGTGCCCCTGCCAGCATTTGAGCCACGCTAACCAGACAACCTCACACCCAGCCCTGCCAGGAGAGGTGTGCCCAGCCCCCATCCTGTACGGCTTCCGGTGTGCTGGCCACGGCCCACGAGCTGGCTTGGCCCAAACTGCTCCTCATCTGGGGGCACCGTGTCTCACAGCACAGACCACTCAAGGGGCAGAGCCACCAGCTTGGGCCTCCCCGGGTGGTGGAGATCTGCAGGATGGCTTTTCTAGAGGCACAGATTTCTGCACAGTCCTTCCACACATGGACTGCACCACGGGAAGCACAGAATTTGCTAAAACTGGCAGGCAACAGAGGAGTCAGCACTCACACCAGCAACTGCGGTACCTGAGGCTCAATTTTATTTATCTTATTGTGGGATCCTCATAACTACAGAGAAACACATTGCAAATGCTATGCATTTTAAGACCTTTGGGTACTTATTTCCTAGGAAGTTTGAATATAATTTAAAACTTCATTGGGACAATAAAAATAGATGGATTAGTCACCAGATTTCTGGAATTTTAAAACCAGACGCTGTTCCTTCAGAAGAGGTATCTAATCTATGTTGTGAACCAAGTTTATTACATTTTTCATTTTCTGCTACTGAGAACAGAATGCTCCAATTCACTACTGAACAGAAACGTGAGGGTCCATGGGATTCCCTTTAGTGCCTCCTCTCACAAAGGACAGCGCTGAAAGAACTGATTCTTGAGCTCTGACCACAAAACAAGACTCTCCATTCCACACAAAGACACGATTAATCATCAGGATAGCAGAGTCTGGCCCCTGGCCTTGTAGTCTTACAGTGTATTATTAGACTTCAGAGAGGAAGCCAGTCCTGAGTGAGAGTCGCTGGCATCTGCATTCGAGAGGAAAGCGGGGAAGCTGGGTCTCGGGTCTGTGCATCCTTACTGTTCCGGGGAGTTCTCGCCAACTCAGTGCCCCCGACATTTGAGAGAAACCCAGAGCTGGTAGTCACCAAGTCCGTGTCTGTGCCTCCCCAGGCCACAGCGATGGCACCAGGGAGCTCTAGGTGGCAGATCGAGGGCCGGCCAGCTGCCCCAGGCCTGTGACCTGCACCTCTGGCCTGGCGGGTGGCCTCGGCCTTCGAGTCAGTGTGGGAGCACAAGCTCGTAGTCCTGCTCAGGTGAGCAGGATGAGGAGACCTCCACAGAGGTCCTGAGCAGGGCGTATTCCGTCTCCGAGCCCTCCCTGAGGAACCTGTCCCCATTCCTGGTGGCGTCCAGGTTCTCATAGCTGTGGTCGTTGGAGTTCAGGGATGGCCGCCAATGGGCTGTGTGGTCAATGACAGTGTAGCATACTTCCTCTAAGCCACTGCTGGTCTCCTCCTGCCATGCACAGAAAAGAGAGATCACAGGGCCCCTGCTCACCGAGGGCCACATCAGCTCAGAAGCCCAGACTCCAGGCCACTCCCTAGGCTGCCCCCCCCACCTCCAGATAGGAGCAGGAGAACCCAGGCGGAAGCAGGCACCTGCTGAGGTTCTGCACATCCAGGTGCAGCAGTGCAGCAGCTGGACCTCAGAATGGAACCGCTGAGTCACAGAACAAGGGACTTACAAGAGGAAACACTCGTAGGAATGTTCAGCCTTAATTTTTTTTTTTTTTTTTTTTTTT